GGGAAGTAGATCCCTGTTTATCTGTTGTTGGACAAATTCCTACTTAACTTAACCTAACCTAACCTAACCTAACCTAACCTAACCTAACCTAACCTAACCTAACCTAACCTAACCTAACCTAATCTAACCTAACTAGAGACTCTAAGAGACTTTTTTCATATGGCATTTGTCTTACTTAATTACGATTCAGATAGACATATGTTCTGTTATTATGTCTTTGAGGATAATGTCTGGTGGCTGAATCTCTGGCTGAATATTGTCACAGTGTTGTCTGGTTGAATGTTGTTAGACGGAGTTGTGTTGGCACAGTGTTGTCAGGACTGCAGGTGTGTGTGTGTGTGTGTGTGTGTGTGTGTGTGTTTGTGTGGGGGGCACTGCCAAGGCACTAACTGAACATTGTGTAGAAGTTACCGCCTGCTCACCAACCCACACAAGGGAGAGAACATACATACATACATACATACATACATTCATACATACATACATACATACATACATACATACATACATACATACATACATACATACATACATACATACATACGAAGATAAATTGTGACTTTAAACTAAAAAAGATAGACTGTTTTTCTTTTTTAATTCGCTTGTGTGTGTGTGTGTCAGAGATAGTTGGTGATGGGGAGTGAAGGCCTCAAGGTTGGTTGGTAGTGATCGAGTGAGAGACTGTGTTCGTCAAGTCCATCAATATTATCTTGGTAGTGTGGTGGTGTGTAGGTGGTGGAGTAGGGGTGTGGTTTTGGGCGGTGTGGTGGTGTGGGGTGTGGTGTTAGGTGGTGTGGTGGTGTGCAGGTGATATGGTTATGTGAAGGAGTCAAGGTGAATTTGGGGTTTGACATATCTAGTTAGGCCAGTTCAGGTCAGGTCAGGTTAGAATAATACAATATTTTGGTAGGCTGAGTATGTCCGGGCGTTCATCAGGGTCAGTTCCGCTGGTAGGGAAGTCATGTAGTGAGGGTTGGGACTTGCCTACCACGTTGGAATTTCGGTTTCTGATTAATTGTTGGAACACGACGGCCGAGTCTGGTATAAGCCTGGTGCTGTGGCTCTTAGTGGTTGAGTTTCTGTCCTTAATCACAACTTAGGTGACGTGGAGTTGTTTGTGCCTCGAGTTATGTCTGAATGTTCTTGTGAGTTTACCATTTGTTGTATGTTGTGGTTTTCCTGTTTTGTTGTCTCCTGTATGACATATTTGCGCTTAGTTCATATATATAAATCCAAGTGTAGTGTCAGAGAACCATCCGTGGTCCTAAAACTAAGTGTCTCACGTCCAATGGTTCAAGTAATTGTTTAACACTGACAGTATTCAAGCCTCTCACAGACAGCTTGCTGCCGCCACACACTTAGTATTTAAAGTGAAGTAGTTTTGGAGGGGAACAATTATATTAATTTCCTCCCCAAACTTCCTTTAGATGATGCAGCAACACCTCGAGGCGGCGCCTCGGTCCTTACACCAAGACTCTGGGTCATCCACACACTCTGGCTCTCCTAACTTTACTGACGTCCAGGTGGTGCAAAGTTTCTCAAGTTTTAAAAGTTCTCTCCTAAAACTTGACAGTAAACTGTTGGCACACATGAGTCACGCCTCAGAGACTCTCACTAGCACTGTGTGAGCCTTGGTACCTGTGTCGCACCCTTCGTTTACTCGTGTGGCAAGTTTGATGTGAACTTCTCAGCATACATAAAGACTCGAATCATAAACACAACTTTAATACGAGCAATCAAGAGCGCCTGGCGTTCCTCCTAACCCTGCAGTTCCACATTTATGGAATGTGCGCCAGACTAAGGTTCGCTTTCCTCCTGCCTCCCTGCAGTGACGCTCTCTTGCAGTACGAGACGGAAGTAAAAGGCGCGGGAGAGCAGCCCGGGGCAATAGAGAAAGTAAGTGTGTGTGTGTGTAACTCTGGTGGAGGTCGCGACGAGGTTGACGGGAAAGTGAAAATATGATCTACTTCACCAACACCGAGATAAAGTAACACGAGCACAACCAACAATGCCCCAGAGTACACCAAGTAACTACTGTTGTTACTTCTCTACCCTGCAGACCCACACACCAGTTATCTATGAACCATCTAAAACAGCTCAACGTTACTCAAACCTTAGTGTTTTATCTCCCCCCTGGCAGCCGCTTTATCATCCTCGTTTAATTGAAGTCTTTTAAAACCGAAAGGAAAAAAAAATATCCTCACAAGACCGTCTTCCACAGGCGATGTCATTGTTCCCTACAATAGCGGACGGGAGTTGACGGGAGGTAAGAGAGGACAATGTGATCGCTGGCGTGAAAAATATTGACACAAGCACCTTCCTTCCTCACCCTTGAGAATGGCTGGGGGGGGGGGGGGGGGCGTCCCGGTGCTTGTTTGAATATCAGGGTAACAAGATAGTCCCGGTGCTTGTGTGAATAGCAAAGGTGGCAATATAGTCATGGTATTCGTTTACAATATCAAGATTTTCAGGGCGTTGGTCTTGAAAGTTTACGAACAAGTTAGGGCAAGTTTGTGTCGACAGTGATGAAGAATATCAAGGTAACAAGTTTACCTCGACACTTGTTCAGACTCAGATGATAAGTTAGAAAAAAATCCCCCCGAAAGAAAAGTAATCCCAAAATGTAATAATCAAATCGACAAAAATAATCACCAATAAAACAAAATTATAAAACAGGAGAAACCAAACATACTAAAATACCTTAAAACCATAAGAAAAAAAAACACCCCAAACAAACACAAACTCCGGGAAACTCAAGAAACAGTGTCGAATACATTAAACATCTGGTGACATGGTCAGGACCTGGGAACATGATTTGAAGTGTCTACCTAAGAGACGTGTTTGTGATAGTTATCCCTTGTACTGTGTCCCAAGACCATGGTAACACAGCGAGGATGTTGAGTGTGTGGGGACGGCCCGGGACCAAGAGGAGGGAGAGGGTGAGGAAAGAGAGGAGATAGAGAGGAGAGGTAGAGAAGAGAGATTATGAGGAAAGAGAGAATGAAAGAGGAGGGGGATAGAGAGAAGAAGTCAGAAGAGAGGAAAGAGAGAGGGAGATAGAGAGAAGAGATGCAGAAAAGGGTGATAGAGAAAAGAGAAAAAGAGAGACAGATAGACATAGAGCCACATCACGAAAGGCAGACAAACAGAGAGCAGGACATACATACATACATACATACATACATACATACATACATACATACATACATACACACATACATACATACATACACACATACATACATACATACATACACATACATACATACATACATACATACATACATACATACATACATACATACATACATACATACATACATACATACATACATACAGAGAATCCAACACCCCTGCCTAACCATCGTCAACATTTGCTCTTAAAACAATATACAATTTCCAAGTCTATTCTGATTTTTTTTCCCTGAACCCAAGTGACATTTAGCTCTCTCTCTCTCTCTCTCTCTCTCTCTCTCTCTCTCTCTCTCTCTCTTAACCCCAAGGCTGAGATTAGGCTCACTGTGGCTTATGTAATGAGTCTGATAAGAGTAGTAATTGAGTGAAAGACTTGGGGATTATTTTGTTATTTGTTCATAGACGCGGCGAGTGAAATCAAATCTTGAAGGGAGAATCAGAGTGAGGGAACCACGGAACAAACTTGTTATTAGGTTAGGTGGTGTGTGGTGGTGTGTGGTGGGGAGGTGTGTGGTGGGGGGAGGTGTGTGGTGGTGGGGGAGGTGTGTGTGGTGGGAGGTGTGGTGGTGGGGAGGTGTGTGTGTGGTGGTGGGGGGAGGTGTGTGTGGTGGTGGGGGGAGGGTGTGTGTGGTGGTGGGGAGGCGTGTGGTGGAGGGGAGGTGTGTGGTGGAGGGAGGGTGTGTGTGGTGGTGGGGGAGGGGTATGTGGTGGTGGTGTTGGTGGGGAGGGTGTGTGTGGTGGTGGGGGGGGGTGTGTGGTGGAGGGGGCAGGGTGTGTGGTGGTGGGGGGAGGGTGTGTGGGGGTGATGGTGATGGTGATGGTGAAGGTGATGGAAGGAGGTGTGAATTGACGTTGTTGCCTCATGTGTGTCAATAAAGGCTTAGCACTAAATATCTCAACAAATATCAACGTTAAATAACTCATTAAAGATGAACGCCTCGTGTCTCAACAGTGAAGGCTGGAGCGTGATATGGCGGACCTCAGGGGGATGGCTGGTGACCACAGAGGAGAATATAAACCCGGGATTCTTGACAGCTCTGACTAGTATTGTGATGTGCCGCCGTGTGTATTGTGCAAGAAGGTAGTGGCCGCCACTTACTGCCTCTCACCACTAAGAAGATATACTGCGCAGGAGGGTAGTGGCCGCCACTTACTGCCTCTCAACGTTTAATGGTGACCAACACAACACAATTCTTGACGACTGACAGCTTCAATATGATCAACTGCCGGCAACTCTTTCTGTTTGGGTCATAACTCAACGACGAGTCACACATGTTAAGATGATTATAGTCTAGAATATAAATTTAGTGTTACAAATATGAGGCAACATCACTTAGTTTGGCTAATGTTTCGTTTGTGTGTCTGTGTATGTAGTGTTCCATAATAAAACTTGACATACAGCTTCAGTCTTACCTTGAACGGAATATTAATAAGTAACACCTGCTGGAGATAGTAATATATTAATGATTTATCTTGAACTCGACCTCAGGTGCAGGTGTCTCAGTGAAGCAACAACCCCTGAACAAAACGCTTACATTTGCCTCACCACCTGCGTCACTCTTCCTCGTCGCCGTTGCTGGTCCCTCACCACTGCGTTACTGTACTTCTTGATAACTACTGCTGGGTTTATCGCAGTTCTTTAATTCTGTGTAAACAACAATCTACAACAACTCATTAACGGTGTAAACCTATTTGTTTTTCTTCCTCAAGTTGCAGCGTCTTAATTGTAATTACCTTAGACGTCACCACCGCCGCTCTCCTTAATGAAAACACACTCAAGAGTTTTTTTTCTCCTCTCATTCCAGGTCGACGTCGGCAGAGCGTGTTGTCGTGGACGTCGTTCTCTGGCTGAGTGTGTCGTCGTGTGTTGTGATTCACGGAGGGAAAATGGTCCAGCGAGGCTCCGTGTGGACCAGCCAGGGTGTGCTAGACTCTTTGACTCCTCTTCTCTAGTGGGTTCACGTGTCGCTTCTCCCATTTTGTTTTTCACTGGACGAACATAATGTTATTTTGATATGAAGATTTGCGTCTCTTCTTTTGTATTTTTTTAATGATATTCTGAGATAAAAAAATATATAATCTTTTCTTGCGTTCTCTCAGTCACTGGTGCTAGGAAAGAACAAGTAGGAACTTCAGTGTTAATGGAAGGTAATAATGTACACGTGTTACTGCCGTGAGTTGCCTGAGGACCATGGTGGGGAGAAGCACGAAACATATGGTATTTACCTAATGTACCGTCAGAGACTATAGTGTTCAGTGCACACAACCTATGTTATTCTCAGTGACTCAGGTAATGAAAACAATGTGTACAGTAGATAGAACTGTTCTTGTGTACATCGTCACGTACAAGCGGCCACTTACATGACTGACCAACACGTGACCACTGAAGGAAGATCTTATAGATATAATTTGAACAAAGTTAAAGAAAAGGCTTAAAGCGTGAGGTCACTTGAGACGCTGAGATGGAGAGCCAAGTTGAACAAGGTCACAGGACTATTGGCCTCCCAGTGTTGAGTATGGAGGAGGAGGTGAGCTGGCCAGAGGCACGCTGTGGGAGGTGGAGGCGTTATCTGGCCTTCACTTGGTGGTGGTCGCTGGTCCTGGGCAGCAGGAGGGGCGCCACCACCCCCCCGCTGTATAAACTGCTGCTCCTCACCACCCTCATCCACCTGGCCGGCGGCTCTGACGTCATCAGAATAGGTAAGTTAATTGTCTTTTACTGTCACATAATACTTATAATCATACCTGTATATCCTTTACACACACACACACACACACACACACATATATATATATATATACATATATATATATATATATATATATATATATATATATATATATATATATATATATATATATATATATATATATATATATATATATATATATATATATATATATACGGTATAGCAGTTAAGTTTGAATGACCACTTTGGTAGAGTCGTAAACTTTTCTTGGACGATAAAATTATACAAGGTAGCGACTCTGATATTCAGTACAAGACCTGGGGCTTATTGATGGTTTACCGAGCCAGTCTCACCCACCTGTCATGTATACTTCTTATGGCTTTGTTCTGTAATTTACTCTTAACTCTAATACAATATACGGGCATAATTCACCCTGAGGAAAGTTAGCGCACCAGCACACAAAAACCCATAATTTATTCTTCCCATAAACATATTTCACCCGCTCTCACCCTTATCGGTAGGAGCCACCGCCTCCCTCCCTGCCTCAACACCGTCTTGCCTCAAGTAACGGCGCCAGTGAGTCGACTAAAGCCATCACTCACTCACTCACACACACACCTACTCTTAGAAATAATCAGTACAAGAAGTAATAGGGAGGTGTACAGTACTGTGTGATGATGTAAACATACTACCATGGTCGGGGTCAACACTCGCCTTCCGTATATAAAGTTGTATCCTGGTGTTTACCTCTCAGCGTGTTATACCTGTACCCAGAGCGGCCTTAAAGGTGTCATGTTGTCATTTTGTTTCTGTAATCACTGACTGGGCAGAGCTGAGGTAAGTATATTGCCTGTATGTTTATAATGAAGGCGTATTACTTAACCCTCCTATACTGTCTACTGTCCTAATTCTATTTAGTATAAACAAATATATATATATATATATATATATATATATATATATATATATATATATATATATATATATATATATATATATATATATATATATATATATATATATATATATATATATCATTTGCCATCATAAGGGATCAGTGGCCGAGTGGGTGTAATACTTGCTTCTTGCTTCAAAGGCTGTACGGTACAGTCACCTCAAGGGATCAGCGTCTCCTTCCGAATGAGTCAGTATCGAAGCTAAATGAAATAATTAAGCGCCAGCAGTGTTGGGATCCTGAACTACACATTTTTTAGTATTCTTAGTTATGATGTCTCTTACCTGAGGATGGTATACACATTTTTCTAACATTCCGTATAGGGTGACCCAAGTTAGTGACCCGGTAATACCATCAACCTCGGTGTAGTGAGAGGTGCACCGGGCGGCCAAAACTGAGGACTGGGTGATGGTGCGATAATAAATACACCCAGTAAAGTTATGGTCTTTTGTTTGAGCAGAATGTAATGAATAACACTTACCATGATACCATCAAGTTAATAATGATATTAGTTATGAATAATTAATATTAATTATTATGGTAATGTTAATATTTACCTGCATCATGTTAGATGAAATATTATAATACATTAGTAACCAAGACACAACTTAAATGTTTGGTTTTGTGTTTGTTTATTTCAGTAAAGATAAACAATAAGACTGTCTTTTAATAGCCAAGAACTCTATTGAAAACAAGGTCATTTATACCCCAAATTTACGTCACGCCATGACAGGTGATTCATCACTTGCAGTAATTGTATGATAATTATGCAAGAGAAAAGATTTTGTGTCTTTTAATTTCTGATCTCATCTAAGATCTTGAGGCAATGGAGTCAGTGAAAATTATACAGTAGTGTTTTCATTCTTTCTTTTTTCTGTATACATACTGTACATGTATACAGAAATGAAAACATAAAAAATATCACTCATGACGTCACATCTAATATACTATAGGACTAGGCATGTGTGTCTGTCTGTCTGTTCTGGGCAGCGGAAACGGCACAATCATTTTTCATCAAACTTGGTGGAAAAATCGTAAAAAATTTGTAGAGTGGAACAAACCTGGTCCCATGTCGATGGTTTCTTTAGGAAGGCATTAATTAACCATTTTATTTACGATGGAAAACGATGCAAGTCTACGGACTTGGTGCACCCTAATTAAGCATATAAGTCTATGGACTTGGCGCACCTTAATTAACCATGCAAGTCTAAGGACGTGGGGCACCCTCATTCGCTGTACACTAGCCAAGCACGAGCGTTCAAACTGTCACTGGGCACGAAGGTGCCCGCGATCACCTGTCAACATCTATGACGTCAAGAATAGCTTCTGGATGCAGACAATAGATGGCGTTATTATTGAGGTATCTGGCAACTGCACCGTACACACATTTCTTGAGTAGAGTATCTTTGCTCCTTCACAAGGTCAGAATTTCATAATTATTTTAGTTGACACTTGGTGACTTGGCTGAATGGCTAGTTGCAAGATGGCTTCTCTGTGCACTATTGTTCTACCTCAGCTTGGCAAACGAGTCATCGTGTATTTGAAAACGAAGCAGCCGCCATTGACATTTTATAAAGCTCATGGTATTCTGCCAGCCTCTGTGAAGTGCTACAGGCGTTCATACGCATAATATATAACAAGTGTGGAAGGATATCAAGAGTTGGGTGCTTCATGCCGGCGAGAAGAAGGAACATTACCGACAATATTTCTTCCTGAACCTGTACCAAGCTGGACACAAAGATCCATCACTTTGTCCTCCAGCATCTGTTAAATAAGGTAAGGATTTTAAACAATGGGGTCCAGGAGGGCTAGGAGGGTAGGTCAGGTCCTTCTGGTTTCGTTAGGTTTCGTTTCCCCGGGGTTTTTTTTTACCATGTTTTTACGCCACAATTTCCCTGCCCACTTTGAACGACTAATATTGTTGGTTATTTGGGGGGGGGGGGTGTCATATCTCCCTAACGGCTCATTTGCGACGGAAATGAAGGTCAGATTCGCTTGAAACACCACAAACTACACTCGGATAATGAGACAACCTAACACCTCAAGATGTGAAAGTCTCAAGGTAAACAGTATTAACCTGATCATTGTTAGGTTAACCTTTCATAATTGCTAGTTACCAAGTTTCAACCTTACCGATACAACAGTCATCAGGTTTTGCTCACTTAATATTAATGATGTAAAATGTGGTAAAATGTTGATACATTACAGCACAACATTAATGACGGGTCTGACATGTACAAAAATGCTACAATTTGTAATTCCATCATTGAAACATTCTCAACAAGAGAGTATAGTAACCAAATATTGTTTTCTCCAGTATTAATCTTATAACAACGTTTCTATTATAATTTAAGCTTGCTCTCACATTAGTAAATTGTTTATAAAGTCGCCAAGCGTAAATAACTCCACCTGTTGTGACAATCCCGGCAACTATACTCGACGCCGTGTTAACTCGTGCTATAAGAAGCGTCATCTATGGGTTGAAAATCGAACTGAACCAGACGACTGACGGGGTTCACTCCAGCGGTTGATTCCCGAGGACACGAACTTGAGGTGACTACAAACTATTTAACAAACAGGAACATTACTGACCCCACACACACTGACTTGACATTACAGTAAGGAAAAGGAATTGAAACTTTTATATTCTGCTTCTTTTAGTGACATAGTATTTGTGTACAGTATTAAATGTTCCGCTGATAGTTTTATACATTTTGAGGGCGGGTGAAGGTACGGCTGAAGGAGTCAAGTGAGAGTGAGATGATTGCTTGGTGAAGGGGGAGAGGTGAGGTAGGGTAGAGTTGGCTTGGTAGAGAAGAGATGGAGAGTGTGAGAAGTGAGGTAGGGGGAGAATTAGCATGACAGAAGGGAGAGGGAGTGAGAGGTGAGATAGGATAGAGCTCAGCATGGTAGAAGGAGTGAGTAGTGAGGTAAGGTAGAGTCAGCTTTATAGAAGGGAGAAGGAATGAGTGAAAGTGAGATAGGAGTGAGTCATAAATGAGAGAGACAGGCAAACAGACAGACAGAGAAACGGGGGAAAAAAAGAGGAGAGAAAGAGAGAGGGGAAGACAGCATAATAGAAGAGAGACACACACAGAGAGAGAGAGAGAGAGAGAGAGAGAGAGAGAGAGAGAGAGATGAAGCAGGGGAGAGCCAAGCTATAATATGGGGGTGTTCGTGGTGGCTCTGTGTGGCTCGGGTACAGGAGGGGAATATTAATGGAGCCAGTCAGGGTAGTGTGTATAGTGTGTATTCTCGAGTGGGGAAAACATCACAGTTCACTAAATACGTCGATCAAAGCTTTAGAAATTACTTTGTGTTAATATGTATAATACCCAAGGCAAAACCAGAACGTCAAATTATCGTTTCTTTCATCCATTTATTTTCAACCTAACCTAACTCCCTTTTCCCTCTCACACCTCCCTAATCACCTCCCCCGCCTCCCACACCCCCACCTACTCCCCCACTCCCCCCACCTCCCCCTAATAAAAGTAGGTTAATTGACTCTAAAACACTTCCTATTCACATCCGTCTGGCAAATTCTTCCTCTTGAGAAAATTTCCTTCAATAGATGACGAGGCGGATCGTTTAATCTTTGGTCGAGAGAAATTATTGGGTCAACTTCTTATGGTGATAATTCAACCCAAAGTCGCCCATTACAGCTATAATAGTGTGTGTGTGTGCGTGCGTGCGTGCGTGTGTGCGTGCGTGCGTGTGTGTGTGCGTTGGGGTGTTGTTTCTGTGGATGGGTGTATGTGTGTATATATGTGTGTTGGTTGTATATACCTGTGGTGTAATGGTCAGCATGCTCGTCTCGGGTTCAATCCCCGGGCAGGATGAAACTATGGGCAAGTTTCTTTACGCCATTTGCCTCTGTCTACCCAGCAGTAATTGGGAACCTGGATGTTAATCGATTTGTGGATCGTGTTCCAGGGTAATGGTTAGCCAGTGCAGTTGGCGAGTTGTCCGGTCTTCTCGGACTATTCCTTGACACTGGGTCATGCAACTCGTTAACTTAGGGCGTGGTTGTTGTGTTGGTGACAGCTTCTACACCT